TTGGCAAAAATGTGATTGGCAACCAATGGTGGGGCTTTATCATCGCTTAGAAGTCTGCCGTAGCGAATACAAGAACGGTGAAATGTTTGTGGTGAATTTTTGCATTATCACGCAAAACAATGTAATCCAAAGCAAGGGAGAGGAATTTCAATATCCATATCTCAGACGCAGAATAATAATTGAGAAAAGCATGTTTGTAAAAAACTTTTCCGTATTTCACTGTAGGTTTATTCTAAATTTACACAGATAAAAAACTGATAGACAAATATGTTGACAAACAGGCAGAGAAATGCATAGAGCAATATAGACAGACAGAGAGAAAATAAGATGGATAGATATATAGAAAAGTAGGCAGAAAGATACATAAACAGATTGATAGACTGGCAGAGAAACAAATAAATAGAGAGATGACTAATATTCAGACAGAAATAAAAATAGATAGGTAGGTGAATGGACAGATAGATAGATAGATATATAATCAGACAGAAAAGAGAATAAGTTCAATAATCTGATTAATTGCGAAGTTGTAAAACTGATCCTGTCTGCTGGAAGGCACCGAATAAGACAAATGGCTACATGACTTAGTCCTTTTTTTCCAGTAGGATTATGAGTTTTGCTAAAGATCGCTTTGTTTTCATCTCTTCTTAATAAGGATGCCAGCGGAGAGATTCGCAAGGATGACTTCCTAAATAAATCCATATGGGAGATGATCAAGGGGTAAAGAGCTCGAGTCTACCGAACAGGTAGCATTGTCCCATCCTGAAATTCAGCCCGCGGAGGTTACTTGTTTTTAAACTAATGTTGCCATTTGAATCAATGAAGAACATGGATACTTTAAAATAGCTGAATGTCGCATCATTTTCATTTTTGAACCGTTCGTTTTCTTTAGGGGCGCTGCAACTGTGTAGTTTCTAGAAATATTTGCCTTCCATCATGGGATCAAATTTCTTGACTCGAATCTTAGGGACGTAAGACTACTTGCGAAGTTGGTAGCTGGCAGCATTAGATATAATTAGATATTGCGGGCAGCCTCCTCAAACGCCAGCAAACACAGAGCCTCATTTTTCAAAATCCAGCATTTGGATCATTGCGCTAACGAAAAATTCCATAAAATGTTTGCACCTTCCCATTGTTGTTGTGTGACTGGTGAATTTGTCTGGACAATCTTTATGGTCCATTTAGCTAATAGCCTACCTCTGTCCCCTAACTGTGTTCATACGCGAATTGCAACTGTGAATGTTGAAGGGCAGAATCCTAGTCTGGTAATTAATTTCTTCCATTAGTCTTGGAGCGGTAGGCCAAATTTCAGCGCGAGAGTAGTTGAAAACATGTGCATCTTTTCGTTGATGACTTAATATGTGTATTGCAATAAATGGCTAAGTGATTTTTAAGAGATATCGTTACCAGCGATCAGTTTTTATATCATCATTATGCCTATTATGTACATAATCATCAGCATCATCACCACAGTCTCCATCCTCTTCTTCTTTTCCTATTTTTTAAGAGCTGAATCCGAGTCGGAAACATGTTGCAGCTAAATAAAATTGTCGTTAGATAATGTATTTCTGCTGTACTTGCTCCAGTGCTCCATTTTACGTGACGTGGTGAAAATTAGTCCATAGTCCGAATTCACTCTGATTGGGTTTTTATACATTATAATTTTTTCCCCTTTCTGTACATCAGTCTATCGTTTCGGCATTGGCATCTTGTCCCAATTTTCTATGATATTCTCTATCCCACTGTTTTTGCTTCTACTGTCTCCACATATCAAGATGTCTATCATGAGAAACGAATTGCAAAATTTCTTTTAAAGTAGAACAAGAAATTCTTGTTGAGAAAATCCGGAAAGCAAAGCAACTGTGATTAGAAAATAAATCATGATACGAAAGGGCTAACAGCCCTCAAAACAATCAGAGCGAGCTGACCCCCAAGCGGGTTTAAAGACA